GTGGTGCTAAGCGGGGCAGCTCTGGCTAGCTATGTATCATTGTTTCACAACAGTATGGGGTGATGGGTCAGAAGTGCCCGCTATGCTCAGAGCACGCTCGAGCTGCGTTCAATTCAAAATTCTCCAGTATAGGCCATTATGGTGACAGGATCCAGAGCCCTATATACCCTGTAATATTATAGTAGTTTCCATTTTCTTTTCCATTACCCCAATATAACCCGAATATAATCCCTAGGATCCCCTACAAGGGGCAAGCTTGCAAAGACCTCTCTGCAGGTCTTCAAAAGTGTGTCACCTCCAAGCTTGCTGCTGAGTGGCTTCCAAGCCGCCAGAAGTAGACTCTGCCTCGCGCAACGGCCTGACACATCTGACAGCTTCCCAACCACAAGTGGGGGTTTCCCAAAATTAGGGGTTCCTTTTTGGGGGTCCCAATAATAAGGACTATAGTATTTTGGGGTCTATATTGGGGTCCCCCCATTTTGGGAAACTACCAAGTCAGCGTGACTCGTACGTTGCTGGCCCTATCCTGCTGTGCCCAATAGCACGCTGCACCACCCACTGCGTAGGTGCCATCCTGGCAAGCGGCGAGGGGATTATGAAAGCTAGACCCGGAAAAGCTTCTGCCAGAGAGCTGCTAGAAAGAGAGATGGGAAGCAGAGTCCTTCATCGTTTGCACAGTCACCAAGTTCAGGTTGCTGGAATTGACGACCATGGCCCAAGCCTGGCAAGGCATGCAACTTCTGAGGTCCAGACCCACACTCATCGAGCCACGCACCACGTGAATGCGGCCAGGCCACGTAACCATTCACAGCAGTGGGGCTGAAACGGATTGACACTCCTTCGGGGACTGGTGTGGAGGCAAGCGATGGATGCTCGAAGAATGCGCTGCTCACCTTAAACCAGACACAAGGGGAGAGGAGTGCACTTCACAACCCAAACGATTCGGATTGGGAATCTGTTGCATCAGCCCTGCGTCTACTGACTTTACTTGCATCCGAAACACCCATGTAGACCTGGCGGCACGCGTTTCAGGGCCGAGTGCATGTAACTTGCCAAGGGTCTCTGGTGCGCGGACTTGAACTTGCGCATGGTACCGTGCTCTGACTTGCTACTAAGGATTCAAATTGTCAAGTCTATTCAGATTCCTCCGCACTCCGCGCAGAAGAGTGGTGAGATGGTGCCGGATGCAGAGTTTGGCCAGTGATGGATGCAAGAGGCCTTGCAATGGGGCTCGCGGGCTCTGGCACTGCTGGTGGGAGCGTAGCCGTGTAGCCAATGACCTGCTGGGATGCTTCCCACAGTTCATGTATGTCCACGCAGTGATGATATATGCTGCAGAAGGGCATTGGAGCGCGTCACATATCCGGCGCCATTGTAGGTGCTGATCCTACATGAGAGAGGGTTTCTGGCAGAACCACAGTTTGCTTCACGGACCCGGAAAACTAGGGCAATTACAGGAGGTGAGTTACCATCTAGGGACCTTATCTAAGCCTTATATAGCCAATATGTAACTCCCGATTGTTCCTATAAACCCCGTATGTACCCTTTTGTACTCAGACCCCCCTTACCACAGCAAAGTTGAACTAACCAGGTCCTGAAGATATATGCAAACTGCAGCTGCAGGCCCGTGATTCGGAAGCTTGTGTCTGTCCTCGCAATCTTTGACAGAATTCAGCGTGTACAATGTAGTGCACAGGGGAATTTGCACCACGGAGTCATAAAAAATCGACTAACCTTCAACCCATGTCTGCCGGAAATCACGCTGTTGCAGGCTCTTGTGGACTCTTGCAGCTCAGTCTCGTGATGCCTAGAGTCGTAAAAACACCACCAATGTCCATCTCCTTAGCAACTTGAGAAGCTGGACTGCTCGCTTTTCAGCTCGGCGACTGCAAGCAGCTCCGCAGAATCCTTTTAGAAGACTACTCTAACAAAGTGAGCCTCGACTTGGATGCACCATCTAGATTACTTCAGGGGGATGGCGCATCTGCGTCCATCCTGCCCACCGGCTGCGGTATTATGAGTTGCCGCTCGTTTGATGTTCTGATCTGTTGGCATCAATGTTTCGCATCACAAATTTAGGTATTCCTCGGTCAACAACTGGTCCTGACAAGTAACCTCATGGAACCTCGCTAGGGGCTACCAGTATCAGTGCTGACAGTGCGCAAGCAACGTGATTTTTACACTTCCTACACCTGCTAGCTAGCAAGGTCGCTACCAAAGACGCTTTGCGAAGCCCAGCTGCAATCTCATAAGAGAAGCTGGAGCCGTTCAGGCCATCCGTGATGGGGGCCGTCCAGTACCTTTGGATGCCACTTGCTGACAGTCCTCTTCGTGTTGCTGAAATTTTGAATCATAAGCAACGTTCTGCAAGTAGCTACAGTCTTGGTGTTGCCAGCGCGTGCTGATACTGTACATCTCCGAGCTCTCCAAAGGAACTGGGGCACATGACTGAAACTTCTCCATGCTGCCAGGCCACAGCAAAATCTCGCTCCCCTCAGGCTCACCTAAACGGATATCCTGAGTCAGTCTAGACTCTCAACTCCTAGCATCCCTTAATAACCCCTATAGTACTCTCCTATTTAATCCTTTACTTTAAAGGAGTTTAGATTATGGCTTAAATGTTGGCGGTGACAACAAGAAGAAGAGGGGGGCAAACAAACACACGTTTCAAAGGCTATCTTCGCAAACAGATCTAGGCTTGACTGCATGCAGCGCACCCAACCCTCAATACTGTCGGCTCAAGTCAGGAGCTAGGTTCGCGCGGGGGGTCCGAAAGGTCTGCGGCATATGCAGAGACGGTGTTGGAGTTTGGACCGCAGCCAAGCGGGCCCTGACATGTCACAGCTGTCTTGGGTCCAGCAAGTTAAAATTCTCAAGGAGCCTCGGCCAGTTCCAGCGTGTCCACACCATAGGCACCCAAGACCTTGGCTATTTGCGTGCTACCCCAGCCTGGAGAATCGTCGAGCTTGTGGCAGTTTTCCGGTCTAAGTTTGGAACCACAGGGAGGCGTGCAGCCAACTTCGGGTCGTGTTCAGGGCTTCTGCCGCCAAGTGGCACAGGCTTGAACCTGGTATCGGTAAAGTTGTCCTTGCGTTCGAGGGCACTCGGACTGTTGTTTGCACACATGATGGACAGCTGGAAATCTGAAAATGTCGAAAGATCTTGCAACGCGCCTGCTTGCAAACACGATGGTGGACACGAGCCTTGCAGGCCAGATTTGTTGAGGTTCTTTGACATCTGACCAGTTGTCAAGTGAACCCCGTGCTACTTCACACCTAGACTTGTGCGCCAACGTTGTTCTATGGATCGATGGCATTGCTGAGGGGCATGAGCCGTCATCATCTGCTGGATTGGCAAAGAAGCAACGCCCGTCGTCCACATACATGCGGTTCTCAGCGCTTCGAACAGCTGACTGCCCAAGCAAAAAAAACCCGAGACTCTATCTCCTTGCTACTACCTGCTGAAACCCTCCTCCAAGTGCGAGCCAAGAATCGGCTGGCACCTGCAGCACACCATCAGCAGGGCTGGCATAGCCCACAACTCTGAAGCCAGCTTCTGGATAATAGCGCAGGATTCCTGGAATGTAGGATCTCACAATTTGCCGTGGAATGGCTCTTACCCTTCTCATGCCGAGCAGCTGTACTGGTAGATGGGGACGCATCCTGTGCATGATACAGAGCGTGTGGCTTTCAGCAGGGTCGCGGAACAGGGTTGCAAGGCCAAATTTGCGAAGAAGCCTTGTCTTTTTGTCTGCAAATTCTACTCTCAACCTCACACTTTTAGTCCTGTGTCTTCCGGCTCTTCCCAAGCGATCGAGATGGATGATGTGGTCGTGTTGGTTACGACCACATTGCGAGGTACGCCAGGCAGCCTCATCTCTTGTTCACCAAGCATAAAGCATAAATGCCGGAATGCTGTCTGAGCTCTGAAGGGGAAAGGCTGAGGTTCCTGCTTTGCATTGGTCACGTCCAAGACTGTGGAAAGAGGGCCCTCGCCGATGGTCGTAACACAGCTCCTCATGCGTCGGGTTCTGTGGCAAGGGTGCTCCATGTGCCGGAATGCATGGGGTGCTAGCTTGACTGCCGAGGGTTTTTGTGAACTCCAAGCTAAGGGCCTACGTGAAGAATTCTAGTTGGGTGGTCAGCAGGGGCAGGAGGGTCGGAAAACACCTGCAGGCAGGGGGTTGCAGAAAGTCTTGGGGAAAATTGTTCATGACTCTGGAAGTCTAGTTTTGGGAGATCTTGCCAGGCTGCAGCGCCGTCGGATTAATAAATTACCGGTTTGCTTCGCGCTTGTCCCAGCCCAGCCACTGAGGTGCGCGTACAAAGGTTATTCTAAGTGTCCATCGGAAAGAGCCGCTGAAATGTGGGTTCCGTATGTGCAAGAAAAACGGTCCCCATTCCAAACAACTAAACACTACAATCCGGACCCTGAAAATGGCCACCTTATTCTTAACACATGTTGGGATACTGTTGTGAACTCGCACGCATCCACTTGAAATGCCGCTAGGTGTCAGGGCGATCTTGTAGCTCCCCCCACAGGTTGCGTTGGCTACCGTGAATTGCACCTGCTTCTCAAAGCACTGGTGCTCAGGGAAACTGGGGAAAATTGTTGCGGGATTCGGGATTACGCCAACCCTTGCTACATAAATGATATCTTGAGAAAGGCGAGAATCACAGGCTCGGCTTAGGTCTGGCAGCCAGGGCGCAATTTCAGCATGTCCCAGGCCATCATAAACAAGTCTAGGTTCTTCGACAGCAGGATCCCACCTTTGATGGAAGAAAGCTCCATGAGCCAACAGAGCAGCTAGCCCTTTGAAGACAACAGTTCAGCAGCGACACCCGTACTAAACATGAGGAATATGGTGTCGCAAACCAATTTGTTCAAACATTAACTGCTTGACCTGCAGAAGCTCCCTTAGCGTGCAAACGTAATGTACTTGTCAATGCCAAGCTACATATAGCCGCGCACTCCCCAATCCGTGGTGACCGCTTCCATTCGTGTGCCTGTGCCAAGCATCGCACCACCTGGCCGCCTTGGAAGGCAAAGAAATTTGGCTCACATGCCGACTGCCATGTGCTGCAAAAGACGACCGCTTCGCCTTGGCTATGGTGATTGCGATCATGCTTGTGGTAGTGGCAGCAGCAGTATTTGTTGTGGTCAACAAGCAGAACTGCTGGCTGCTGGTGGCGCTGGCAGAGTTGGCGATGGCAGTGGTGGTGGCACTGGCGGTTGCGTGAAGAATGATAGTTCATGATAATTCTACCTGCCACTAAGCAGCTCCCACTGAATCTTGATGGTGGCTTCCTGAGAGACGCACACCAAATGGGAGTTGTGGCCTTCTCAAAAACTGATGCACTCGATGCAACCGACTGCACTGTTTGAAACAGCTTTTGGAGCGTAGACCTGGGCAAGATGTCCTTCTCGACCCCCTGGAAAAGCAGCCCCTCCCCCTGTATGCCACCAAAGAGCTTCAGACTCAACGCGCTGAACAAGGCGCGGCCCTTCCTCAAACGAAGGCACTGCTAGGGGCACAGATTCTCAAGGGCTAGCCATGCTTGACGCGGAACTGTTCCTGCGAATATGCGCCACGTCTGGAATTGAACGTCACTCCCCAAGAGCAGCATCATGACCCACAGAAGCCAGGAGCTCAAGGCCAACATCCATGATCCGGAATTGCCATGATTTCTCACAAGCAAATTGGCCCCAACACTGCCCTGACTCGAGCTAGTCATGCTCACCAATTCTCTGCAAGAGTCGTTTGGCAGCAGCCCGGCCCAGAAGTAGAGCGACTCGGAAGCGGTACCCAGCCCGTTCCTGGGACTTGCGCTAAAAACTGAAGACGGGGCATGAGCGGAGTAAGGTACCGCCCTAGCTGTACAGTCATCTGGAGTTAGCAGTCATGAGGCTGATAGCCGGCGCCGCCGCCGCCGCCGCCCGCCGTTACGACGAGAATTCTCGGGACGCTCCACTCGCAAGCGCCGCCACCCGCCGAAAACCACGAGGAGGTCGTCGATTCCAAACAGAATTTTGAGGACGCTCCACGTGCCAGCGCCGCCATCCACCAAAACCAGCGAGAGGGTCGACGATTGCAGACTACGAAGAGAATTCTGAGGACGCTCCACGTGCCAGCGTCGCCACCCCCCTAAAATCAAGAGAGGGTCGTCCGCCAGCGCCGCCGCCCTCCGAAAACAGCGAGAGGGTCGTCGATTCCTGCACGCGCCCGCGTGCACCGTAGACGCAAAATGCGCGTGCACCTTAGACGTCGCGCCCCTCTATGAGCCCATGCTCTGTTGTGCCCAGCCAAGCATCTCTGAGTTCGCCAGCACGCGAAGGGCGTAGCGAAAGTCAGGCTCCAACTGCGTCACCAGAATACCTGATATAGGTACCCGTAGGGGTAATATTAGGGTTATATGATAGGGTGTATTTCTAGGGATTATACAGGGATGTTGGAAAAGAAAATGGAAACTACTATAATGGGTAATATAGGGATTATAGGGAATATACGCTACATTTCCATAATTCCCAAGGTTTAGGGTACTTAAGGTCACATGGAAACAGCTATCATGGGCTATAGTCCTGCTTTTTATTTTTTGTGTAAGCACTAAGAAAGATCCTCAGCCTGGCGGCTATAGCTTTGCCACCTCATGACCCTTTCAAGGGATATATTAATCTAGGGCTATATGGGGATAACATAGGGTTCATATAGGGGTTATATGAGGATAATATACGGGCTATAGAGGGGTTATATAGGAATAATATAGAGGTTATCTAGGGGTTATATAGGGATAATACAGGGGTTATATTTGGCTTAGATAGGGATAGCATGGCTATATGGTGAGTCTCAGCTCGAGCCTGAATCATGGCTTCAGGATGTCTTCCTCAAACGTCAGTCTTCCTTCGCGTGACCCATGATTTTAATTCATGGTCTCCCCAACTGGACTTTACACCCACTATGTAACATATACACTGCATACACTATTTTCCTGAGGAACCTCACCCAAGACCATGACTAGAGAAAATCATACCTCACACAGTCACACATAGCCAGTGCTTGTAGGAAGGCCATTAGGCATATCTGACGTAGCTGGCAAGCGCAACAGAAGCAAACGCGAAAGATGCAAAGCACCTAACTGAGTCAAGGTAAAGCTCATGGGCCAGAGCTTGACGACACCGCCAATCTCTGCATGATTGCAGTCAGGGCGCTGTACGCCGTGTTGTCAGCAGGTGAGTTTTGAACATCAAACCTTGTGAGCGCGCAGCAGCTGCTTAGAAGGTCTGAAAATATGGGTCTGTTCGGGGCGGGGCAATTCACTTTTGAAAAGCGAGGAGGTGGGTCCATTTTGAGATATGTTTGACACAACCCCTTTCGTCCTTCCGCGAGGTTCGAGACAGCCGTTCACAGCGCAGAGTTCATGGCATGCAGACCAAAGGACCAACCGGTGTAGCTTGGCTCCATGGCCATCTGAACGACGTACTGGGTAATCCTGGGCTGATCAAAGAATCGCATGGCAGGACATGCAAAATTACCCTGCCATCCAGAACCTAGTCAGCCAGGATACGGGAGAGCGTCTGCTGTTTCGACGTAAGGCATGTCCCAGGTAAGCTGAACAGATTTCAATGACACGGATGTGACCGCCAGGTTTACCTGAGGACCCAGCTCGCATCATGGATTCAAGCAAACTTGCATTTGAACATGCTGGGGAGGATGCTGTCCAACTGCTCAAGTCCAGGCGCGGGGGCTGGCAATGTCGTGGCCATCTTGAAGTACAGCATCTCGCTGGCATTACCTGCGCTGCAGGGCGGAGCGTAGCTTGCTTAATGAAAATTGTTACATGATGTCGACATGCCTCTCATGATACTGGAAGACCTGTCCAAAAATTCCGCAAATCTAATTGAGACCTTTCCTTGGATTCGTTCAAGAGCTCTAACATGCCCTTGCCTCTGCCAGCAAAGGAGACTGCACGAATGAAGGCGCGATAGGTGCGCTCGGGCGTGAGCTCAAACACTTTGGCTGTGTTGCTGAGGCGCCTGGTAGCCAGCCCCACAGGCAAACGCTGATCAAGTAGAGCACATCATGTTCAGTCCGCGCAAATTGCAGAGGCTGCAACATGGCGAATGCGACGGGCTCTAGCAACAGCATCATCTAAAGCACATCCCTCTTAGCAGTAGCTATACTTGCAGTGCCCGCCTACCAATGCCGTCGTAGGCCACATGAAACGGTCCGCCCAGACCATCATCCATGAGCCTTCGAGCCGTGTACGGCACAAGCGTTTGTGAAGTGTAAGAGTTCTGCTGCAGCACCCTTTCCAGCCATCTGCGCAGGAATGCAGCCTGAGCCTGCACCTCTCGCCGCGAACTATCTTCTCCATCCGAGGCACAGCTCGTAGCCCAGCAGCGCGCGTGGATCGTAGGAACCGATGAGCTGTTGTGGGAAAGTCACGAAACTCAGATGAAGTCCATGAGATATGACGCTTGTGCTGCCAACTTCTGCTGATGCAAGGAGATGCCTTCAGGACGCTGTCGTGCCTTCAATGCCTTCACCTCTCACTGTGCTGGGCAAGCAGCTCGCCAGGACCAACTTGACCGATCTCGGCCTGCAAATCACGCGTGTTGTCAAGTGCGCTTCGAAGACAGGGGAGCATTCAACTTGCCTGAATGCGCGAGAAGTTGCTGGCCACATCCACCAGCTGTGCGTCCTCATTACCCCGATCAAAATGCCGGTAGGATTGCAAACGAGCTAGCTGGAAAGAGGTGCCAATGGGTCCTGGAGCAAGGTCCATTGGAACTCCACGGAGGTCGTGTTCCTCAGCAATACTTGGGAAGCTGTTCTTGTAATGCATCTAACATCTTGGAAGATGGCACAGCATGGCACGGATTGACATATGCAGTGCAGCTAAGCATGGCTCAGAACCGCCCCAAGACTAGATTTGCTTGATTGGACATGCATAGTCCCACAACCATATGCAGTCTGCAGCAAAGCATCAATGGAGTCACTGATAAGCCTGGTTGAGTGCAGGTGTACCTTGCCCGGCGCGAAAGCTTGCTCACAGGAGCCCTTGAGGAAACCGCAGGATGCTAAATGGCTCCGTACCAATGACGATTGGAGCTTACATTGCAAGTACGGCATGGAGTGGGTCCGAGGTGCTCAAAGTTTGAGGTGAAGCCCCACAGACCTGAGATCCAGGCATCCGCCTGCTTGCCGCTTGTCTTTGGCTTGATTTTGGTCAAGTGCATTGTTGCTGACAGCAGCCCAGAAGCCACAGACTGGTGCTGGTGGAGGCGCAACAGGCACGGCGAGCTCCTGCCAGGTCTCAGTCACGGGGTTCTCGTGTGACACGAAGGCAGTTCTCCAATTTGGACGCTTACCCTGTGTGGCTCCTCCGACCAGTTGCCCCATCCACGACAATTCTGGGCCCGGATCCTGCTGTTACGCTGCCAGACTCAGGTCAAAAGTACTCTTGCCAGAAAAATCGCCACCCGCGCCGCAGAAAAGATCTTTTCACAATGCAAAATTATGCAGTCGAGTCGGTCGAGGAATGCAGTTTCATCGTCACGAGGGAAGGGGTTGAGCCCTATTACCTTTACCGCGACACCTTGAATCTCGCAATGTGCAGAACAGGTCTCTGACAAAGCTACGCTCCTCTTACTTCTGCACAAGACAAGTATTTCTTCGACTGTGTATCGCAGACTGAGAGTGAACACTCTTCTGCGCTTAGATTGCAACCAAACTTCGTATGTCCCGTCATGGCCATCCACCTTGCTACATTTCCCCCTTCCGTTGTGACACAAGTCAGCATATTTGCGACCAGCTTTGCAAATACTAGGAGAGGATCTTTGAGTATGACGGATAGCACGCTTTGATTTTATAGGCTTCCATGTCAGTGCACAGTTTTCACATGACTGCCTGCTTCATGCAGTAATGTTTTTTGGCGCTTGGTCCTGTATAGCTGCTTGTCGTGAACGTTGCGGTTGGGTATCGTGACGAAACCTCAGCTGCTCATGGACTGCTGAAAGCTTGTACACGAAGAGGACCAGGCAGGAAAGATTGGATCCCACTTTTATCAAAAATGTTTCATTGCCTATCACCTGGATCCTGCTTCTCCGCTCAGAATCAGACAATTGCAAAAACACCTGCCTCTTTTCAGGGCAACTTAGTCCAGCACATGATGCTAAATGCTATCTGTATAAGCAGACCTGTATGGTTCTGAGACCTGCTGGGACTGGCAAGCCAAGCGCCTTCCTGCTAGCTTCCCAGGGTAGTGGGGGGGCGCAGGTGGTTGGTTGGTAGGTTTTGCTTTTCCTTCAGGAGGCATATGCTTCATGACATGTTGTCCTTCAGGCAAATACCTGAGACATCTTTCAAAACAATGCCATCACAACCCGCACACGCAACAAGGATAGCGCCCAGACACAGGAGAAGAGGGTGCCAGGGAAGTCTTTGTGCGAGGCGGTGAAGGTTTGGGCTGTGAAGGCATCCACCAGGCCTGACATCCAAATGAACAAAGAATAGGGCCCCTACAGCCAACAAACAGTAGCGTCCCTTGTGACAACATCATGGGCATGGGATGGCACATACGTAGAATAGACAAGCAAACGCGCCCTGGACTGGTCCGGCCCAGTGGCCATTCTGCGAGGGCCGCACTTGCGCAATCACCCTCAGCATTGTTGCAGGCTAGCATTGGCCACGAGCACACAACAGTCGTCAACACCAGGCTTCTTCATGTCTTGTTTTACTTTGCATCCTTTGCATGCATGCCTTCCTCCCACTTTTGTGCACATCCAACATATCGAGTATCTAAGATATGTATTGTGTGTTACATTTCTAGTCAAAAATGTATCCTTGTAGCATAGAATCGAAGACACTAGAGCAAACTGTAACTTGAAAATGCTTGAAATTCATGTATCCATACTAGTAGTATATTTGATTATATTTGTAGATTACACATGCAAATCCTGCAGCTCTGCGGCTCTTCGTTGCGTTCGATCATATACCACTCCACCGGGCACGAAATGTTCCTCAACGGAATGAACGTCGCGGGATTTTGAGAGGTTGCCAGAGAGTTGGGGTCCCTGTGAGGAGTCTCTCTGATAAAGATTGTAATCTTTGAGGGAATGCAGAGGTACTAAATTATCACTGGGGATGCTGCGCCGTAAAGTCTGCGATACATGCAGGCCAAGTGCCACTACGTGCTAGTGACGCACTGAATGCAACGTGTGATGGCCAACAGGTGAAAAGCAAGCTGCGCCGGCTGAGTGGGACGAAATTCCAGTCTGGCACAGGCCACAACATCCGACCTGCCAGATGAAGGCAACAGGCATGGCTCTCCTCCGTGAAATGGCCGGCTGTTCAAAAGCAAACAAAAACGGGACCGTCGCCTGTCGGGGAAGAACTCCTTGCAGGGATCCCCACTCCTTGCTGAGGTGTTGCCTCAGGCTGAACATTTGCGAGGAACACACAGTTTACTGCGTCTAAGTCCAATGTGCGATCCAACCTGACACCTTTGAACACAGGGTGGATTGGACATGATTGGACCTTTTCCTGCTGCCCAAGCAGCAAGCGGACCAAGCCACGGACAGTAAGGGAGGAGGCGGTACATCAAACACTTGAAGAGCCTGCCTGGGCCAGACATTTTTGATGTGAATGCAACATGAGATGGGACGTGAATCCACACCTTACTCCAGATTGAACAGGACGATGCACTACTGCCATGCATTTATGGATTCTCAGCTGCTGCAAAGATGCACTATTGACTCGGAGTAGTTGTAGTACTCTGCAGACATGTTCTGAGGCAGGTAGCAGTCCCTCGGGTCCTGGCTCAAATCACTATCATACATGATAAACTTTGCCCATGGCAGTTCTTGTGAGAAGGCCAGGCCAAACACGTATATAGTAGGTTTGTCAACGTTGCAACCTGCATCCCATGCAGCACACCGTAGGCGCCGGTCCACATCTGCGAGCTTGAAGAACGCGTAGCTGCTGTCCACGGATGCGGGCGTTGTGGTTGTGGTTGTCGCCTGCGATCTCCAGGGCAAGCTTAGCAAGGCTCCGCCAAAGCAAATGACACCACAACAGGCCTCAATGCTCCACACGAAGCCAGTCACCAAGTCTGCAACAAAAGTCTCGTTGCTGGCTGCCTAGCTGTGAACAATCAAGCTCAAGCTCACTGTCAGCCAAAGCAATGCGAAATCCAGTCCAGGTCGTTCGAGTTGCTAACCCAGCCAGCCAGCATGGGTGAACACGCAAAACAGCTTTCAATCACAAAACCTCTTGCCATCTGGGCACTGTAGTCGTAGTCGTTGTTGTCGTTGCATTTAATTGCAGCCACCACGGTACTTCAGGCGCCTGCAGCAACATGATTCTCGCAAATTCAAAACCTGCATCTGAATTCGGTGCGACACCCGGCATTCAAATGCTTGACGGCACATATCTGCCCCACAGATCTGAACACAAGGCGCGCCAAGGATGCCGAAGGTATGCTCCCTTCTTGAGGCTCTTGGTCAAGACACACAACAATTTACAAGGATCCACATGTTGCATCCTTTAGGCGTCTGGGTCTGTATGCCTCGTTGGAGCAGCGGACGATGGTGTAGTCAGATGCACTCTCATCATCCCATACGTCAATGCCATTCACTGCTACAACTCCTTAGAAATTTGAAGCAGCATTGCCAGCAAATGCTTCCAAGATGACCCTGTTCGGAATGAGGCAGCTACACTCAAGCAGGAAGCTTTGCTCAGAAGACCACGCTATGTGGCTATGTGCTGCATCGTATTCCAGTTCATTGTCCAACTCAACTCACTCTGAACAGCGAAGAGGAATCCGAAGTCGCCATACCGACCATGCGCAAGCGGCAAACGTGGATGCAGCCAGGGCTCTGTATTTGTAGATCTCCCCCCAAGTCAAGCCAGTCTTGCCAGCACCATCCAGGTCCTTGGATAATGCATCAAGATCATTGAACTGAGAGTCTAGGCATGAGTTTGGATGCAGCATATGGTCGTTTTTGTGGACTGGTTGTGCAATGTGCAGGGGCTTGATAAACATAAACATCACAGCAGAAAGCAGACAAGACCCCAACATCTTGTCATAAGCGGGTCAGTGCGATGGCTCATGATGGGGATGCTATGTTTAGAGGCTCAGATTTGGAGAGTCTGGCGTTGGTGGTTTGAGATCTTGCTTCAGTGAGGTTTTTGGGCTTCTTGACAGCTTGCTACAATGGATGGCTGAGAGCTTGAACCTGCCCAGGCAGTTGGATCCTCAAGCCACGTACGGAAGACAGGCTTGAGACACGGGTCAAAATCGCGCGCTGTTCAAATCAGATGTTGTAAAAGATGTACTTTTCAAGGCCCTCGTTTTTGACAACAACTGGTTTGATAGGGAGGATGACCTTGTCTGGCGGATCCTGCAGCTCTGATACGGCAAAGGCTTCACAAGGTTGACAGTACGACGCCTCTGGTGCTACGCTTTCACGCAGGGTCTATTTCAGGATGGCGGTTGCCGCCTTATGTTGCGAACAAGCTCAAAGGTACCTTTCGCGGAAGTTGGATACAAAGACCCACCTTTCTGGCAATGAAAACCCAATCGCTCGTGGTAAGAGCTGAGCTGCATTGAAGTCATCGAACCAAACTTCGTTCTCTGGAATTGGGAACCTCGCAGCAGCGACAGCAGCGACGCATGGATTCAGCCCTTGTTCCGGGCTTTCTCGCACTGCGGCTCTCCCAAAAGACATCAAAGCAAGTCAATTGCTCACGCATGGCCGAATTCGCGTCGATGGCCCACTGCCAGCACATGCACATGTCAGCACCGCACCCGGGAATGCTTTCAACATCTTTTGAAGTCACACGGGGCGAGCTAGCTTGCCACAGAACCTGCTGCTCAACCCGGCATAACCTGGCCTAGCATTAAACCATTGTGGAATCATTGCTTCTCTCCTGTCCAAGGAGCAAAGGGCCAACACCACGGAAGGCCAAGGACTCGCCCTGCGCACGCTGGATGCGCCAGCCAGTCAGCGGCACGCCTATCTCCCGAGGGCAGCAAACTGCACAAAGCAGAACATAGCAAGGAACATGTGCTGTCAGTTGGATTCCGCAGAAGTCTGCGCGGTTGCCTTGTGTCAGCGTTGGGCTGTCTTTCAGCCATTTTTTTGCCACGTTCCCTACAAACGTGTCTGGTTTGGCCCACAGTGTTAAGTCATTCGAATCAGGGGTCTCATGAAACTGCGTAAGCATGCATAACCAATTTGAGCTGTCCTATTGTGTCGAAGGCCTTTTTCTCCCATACCAACCCTGGACGCCTCCATTGTCTGCCGGCTCTTTGTACGCCTTGATCACGCAAAACGTGCTCCCACAAGAGCGCTTCATCAAGTCCATCTACTTTCAAGCAGCAACTCCTGCCGATTGCAGAGAGGGTGCTATTCGAATGTAGTTGAAGAAGTCCTGCGGTGGGTTCTGCAGGCAGTTAACGTACTCGATGGTCGGCGGCCTTGGTGGGCGTATGAATCTGAGCCTACAAAAAAGATTGGAGAAGGTGGTGTAAATGTTAAAACGAGAGGAAGATTGCATACTTTTCCTGAGCGACCTCACCACGTCTAGGACTTCTTGATTGCAAGAGTAGTCAGAGCTCCATGCGCAGAGCTACGAATTTAGCAAAGTTCAAGACGCAGGAAAAGCAGACCCCATGACTAAGCCTTTAGTGACAAGCCCAACGCACCCTCAACGGCAACCAGCAACGAGCATTCTCAAGATTGCTTGTGTTTTCTCCAAGGCTCTCAGGCTTGAAAGGCCGCCGGGCGCAGTGTCGCGTAATGACGGTTGGGACCTAACCAGACTGCCAACAGTAGCCGAATCGCCCAGACAAACGCTCAACTCATCTTCTGGCCCGCGCGCGCAAACGAGCATTGCGTGGTGCCGCTTTCGGTCGAGTTGCCAAGGTCTCACCGCCAGCGTTGACGGCTGCGACCGCCAGGTCTCGCAGTTCGCCACGTGTGCAGTTGAGAAGTGTGAACCTTGCATGAGCTATATGTTGCTCAGCATGCATTGCGAGACACTGAGGATTGATCTGCTGCTGCTATGGAGAGGAGACACCGCCGAATGTAAACACTTCAGTCAGGCCGCTCCCTTGTGACGGAATCTGTCGCCCCATCATAGGCCAGCTTCCCATCAACGTAGACCCGATAACCTGCAAACGGCGAATCCCCTGCTTCTGCTATGCACGGCGGCATCACAGTCTAATCTCTCCGGGCGCTGCCTTCAACTTTCAGCCCTTGTCCTTGGCAAGGCAATTGACTCGGGACTCAATTCATGCCATGCTCGACCATGCTTGGCCAAGTACAGGCTGCCATTTGCGTACAAGGCACCTGGGGGCTCAATCCAGGCGATGCGCACGGTCATCTGATCTGATCCGAGGACGAGAGTCTCTGGCGGATCAGGCAAGCCACCGGTAACCTGGGCTTCTCGGCTCGTTTGGAGGTTTTCAAGCTCCGAGCTGTAACTGCTAGGCACCACTTGGGTCCGCCAAATTCCGCCGTACATATGCCGAGTTGCAATGGAGATCTCAGGTGTCGCTTGCACAGAACCCGCCACTGCCTGCAGGCACGCATGCGCGGATATTTTGCATCCTAGAGTCTGCTGAGCAAAGCCACCAACTGGGCTCATGAGAAGAAAGCCAGGCCTCGTTCGTGGCATAAACGCGATACTGATACCGATGGCTGAGTACAGCTCTCACCTAGGAGCTGGATCCAGGCATGAAGTGAGATGGCCAAACGCTGCTAGGCATGCTCGACAACTTTGGAAGTAGATCAGAGCCGTCCAGTGGGAATTGAACAGTGAGCTGCCCAAAGATTTTGTGATGATCTTTGAACATTGCTTAAAGCTATGCCATGGAACTCAGCACGGCAATCCTCCCCACCAAAACTACAGATGCTTCCCACGAGTCAGGATGGTCAGCTCATCCAGCTTAACTGAAATCAACACGCCTTCCTGCAAACCTGTCAAAATCCCTTTTTGCGCGTGCCCGCGCCACTTCCAATGTTTACGTATTTGAAGCGACTTTAGCAAGCCCACACGCCCAGAACACCCTCTGCCCCAATCTGGTGCTTTTTGTGCCGTAAACCCTTTGACATCTTCGGGACCCGCCTGGCAATGTGCGAAACAGCTGTTTTGGGCTGTGACGCTGGCCCATGCTTGGTGGCCGAATAGGATTTGGGTTCTGCCATGCGCGTAATGCACCCATCATGCAGCTACGAAGTCTCATGCTGTGGTGTTCTGATTCAGGAAGCTCGCAGTTTCACAGAAATGCGGACTCCCTTTGTCATGTTCTTCAGGCCGTTCTTGCTGTCTTCCATCCAAGTGGCATCGCTGTAGAAGAGGTCTGTGCTGAACGTTGAAGCTGAACGTAGCTCCTCAGAGCGACATCTGTGAGCACAGCCGCAACTACAAGTCACAACCCGAAGCTTAATGCTGCCCAGGTTCCCTCCAGCCTCCGTGATCTGTCTCAACGACGTAGCAAAACCTGAGCTGATCCACTGGACGCAGCTGCAAATGGCATGAACGCAATGTTGCAGCGCAGGTATCCATCATGCAGTTTCGGCACTGCTGCGTGCTGTATGAGATGTCACTGACGCCGATGACCTGCACCAGTGTCAGATTAGCGACACGGGCACAACTGCAGTATGTCAGACACGAGGGTCATAGCCGCAAAGCAGATTAAACGTGAATTAATACTGATTGATCAACAGTTACCGTGGAAGCTGGAACCGCCTAAGCATGTTTCCGTCGTGTTCTCATGCAGGAGCAGGAACCTTACGCCAGAGAAGTCAAACCCTTCCTCCGGGCAAGATGTCCCGATCTCAACATCCGCTACTGTGGCAACACCTCCATGCTTTCAAGAAAGTCCTAAACAACCGCTTGCTTACTTGCGTCACATTGCGGGAAAACCCTCAACCCTAAATCCCAATCCTTTGGATTGCGTCTTTGCACAGACAACTGGACGTCCAAACAAAAAGAGGTTCCACAACACCCCTGCCAACAACCCCCCAACCCAATCTGAACATCAAGATTGGAACCCCAAACCCTATACTTTGATCTGGGGCCTGGCCGGGCCCACCAATGGCACGGCTGCAGCTCACCATCTTGCAGGTTTCTCAGGGGAGAATGAGAGAGGACGCTGGTGAGAAATGACCAGTTGTGCACAGAATGAGCTGGAGGCCAAACCACTTGTAGAATTAGACTGTCGGCAAGTTGCACAGACCTCTACACATTGCTTCTCCAATCAGTCTGAGTCTAAGGGATGGCTCATGTTGCCGGTTTTAGGACACTACACAATTTTGGAGCTGGCGGCAACTTCGACTTCTGTTTGTGATCCACATTGCAACTCTGTCATGCCTTGCTGTTCGACGTCATGTTTTGTGTTCTATGCACTGGTCACAATTCTTTGGCATCTTCCTTGCTCGACATCTTTCACTGACGCCACTTGTGGTCGCCAATTCGCATGACTGTCGATACGGCACAAAGGCAAGTAGAAACCATGGAGGTGACTTCTCAAGGCCCTACAACTGGGCCAGCAGAGGATACTCTATGCTAATCTGTGCAAGGTTGCCGTTCCTGAGGGTCTGTTTTGACTGTCACAATTACTTTTCCATAGCAGGCCCACTAGACAACGCATGTGGGCATGACTCAAAGGTCATAGTATCACATAGCGAGGATTCAAAAGAACGAGATCTTCTAATATTAGTCAACTTTCTTGGTACCTCGCTTGCTGCCTTTTAACTGATTTAAATACCTTTCTTATCATCGACGTCCAAGGCAAGACGCTGGGCCCAAGCACTCATGCTGCTGCCAGGTTACCCCGCTAGTATCCGTTATGGACCATACAGAGCTCTCCAGCTTTCCGAAGTAGACGGGCGTGACTCCTAGGACTTTGCAAGATGTCTCGACTCAAGCCTGGGCTAAGAAAGCTTTACTCTGGGACTCTTTAGATGTGTGCACGAAGGCTCAGCACTTGCTTCTGGCCACCAGCGTAGCTTTGGAACCGACTGCAAAGCCCCAGAACATCTGTAAGCTCCGTAGCGGCCAAGGCTCCATCAGTATAGTCTGCAGTCAGACCCCCAAAAGCTGGCACGGTGCTGTTGAACTCACACGTGCCGAACTCCTTGTGAGCTACAGGCCATACAAGCAAAATGGCGCAAGAAATGCACCCTCAACACCAGTAGAAGCATTCATGACACTTGCATGATGGGTATGCTGCTGGGCACCATGAAGATGCATAAGGGCGTCACTACTTACAGAGCTGGAAGCTAATTTTCTAGGTCTATGAAGAACCTCTTCAAGGCCCTGCAGGAAAGGACAGGCAAAGCGTGCGCAGGCTGTAAACGTCGGAAGCTACTTAGGATGATCAGGAGAAAGTCCTCTTCACCTATCAAAGCGGGCCGCGGGTTGATGTGTAGGGTTTAGCGGAGTCCTTGGTGCAGAACTTCAGCTGACTTGTTTTCAAGCCACCGCCGCACGCGCAGCATGCCTGTGGGTGGGATCTTCAGGTGTCTGCATTTGGGATGTGATTCGGGGAGTGCACAGAACATTCATCTTGTGTTTAGATGGACCGGCTGGATTGGAACGCCAGCTTAGACTGACTACGAGTGAGTATGCACGTACGGTGAAACTCCTCCTGTTCGCACGGCATAGCATGCAGTTCAGTATACGCAACGCTCTTATCATACTGCCTTGACGTATTTATGTATCCTCTGGTGATCTGAGGTCTCTGGTGAATCAGATCACTGCACTCCCCTGGTTTCTGTCAGCTGCGGATCTGGCCTCACTGGCAGTGCGATTCCATAGTCCAGGAGAGCGGACCTCAACAAGCGCCACAAGATAGCACACGCCAAAAATAGTGGTGGCTCTGTAATTTGGAGGGGCTGTCTGGGATCCGAATGCTACTGGTTGATATTATTTTGGGGAGTTTGTAACTGCGTGTTGGTGCTGGTCACAGCATGATAGCAGCCCATGATTCGCAGTGCAGTCATGGCATAAGAGCAGCCCATTGCACAACATGCCCAAACATTCCATCCAAGCAGCCCCAAAAATCTCGCACCGTCCTGCAATGGCTGCTGTCGCTGTCGCAAGTGAGTCAGATCTTTGTCAGCAGTTGGTGGGTACTGCAGCATCGCCTCCGTGCTGGCGCGTGAGGGCACCCCTTGGGCTACAGATGTTTTGTGGAATGCAAGTGCTGAGGCTGTCTAAGTCAAGCCGTTGGACCTGCAGTTGGTTGAAGCCACTTCCTGGTTTGCACGCTGTGTAGCACCGCCAACCTGATGCACGTCATTATTCTGATTACGCGGCCTTGTACGAATTTAAGGGGATCATTCAGCCCCACCATGCCCAGACATAGCAAACAGCCATGATATTAGTAGTCTCTGCTCACGGCTCCTGGCTCTTCGGCGTACCACTCGCAGTCGAAGGCGTCGCTGTCAGCATCATGCCAGCCCTGAGTCAGTCAGCCATAGGCCGGGCGTCATATGGACAGTTGAAACACAGCATGGTGCCATGGGCCATGGGTACCAGACTTGAGGATTCTGTACGAGTCTGGTGCTTTCGCAGTGGTTTTCAATTAGCCGGTATGCTTTGTCCCGAACAGTTACTGCAAACATGTAATATATTCTCGTCGTGGGCCCCCCACTCTTCTCACGCACATGCTGGTGGCAATCTGCAAACTTCCAGTGGTTGTATGTGAACTTCAACACTTGCCAGCCCTCAGCCACAAGCATTCCTGACTTGGCAGTCGATCAATCAAGCTAGGTTCTTCTGGCTCATCGTTGCAAACCTCCACAAGGATGTAGCCTGTCAGCAGTCATGCAAGTAAAGAATGCGCCAGCAGCGTGGAAGTTGAGCAGGCCATTCTAGCAGGCTCCACCTTGTAAAGAAGCCATCCATCAATAAGATCTTACGAAAAGCCTGATTTGCAGCCAGCAGCATTCTCGCAGCGGCGGTTCTTCACGTCCAGGATCAAACTCAGCGGTGGGGAACAGCGGATCGCCAAACACAGCCTGCAGCAGGAAGCACAGCAGGCCTCAACAGCCTTGCAACTTTTTGAGGTTGCAGCAACTCTGCAAGTTTGCCGAGGCGCCGATGAGCACAGCACAGAGGACTGCGTGTTTCGCGCCACGTTTCGAACAGCGATGCCTTGGATGCAGGATCTGCTTTAAAAACATGGCGTAATCGGGCAACTCCAAACATTCACCTGATGCAGCTGGAGTACGCCCAGTGTAGATGCGCACCTGCGCTCGCACTGTAGTGAGATACCAGTGGCGGCTGTATGATCAAGCGCATAGAGACAGCTGCATGCCGCAAGCTAAGTATTTGCAACAGTTGCCGTATTCGCGCCTTGTCATAGCTATCCGGAGGCAGGTTGTAGTCGCCCAGGCCATTGCTCGCAAAGTTCCCGATGACGCCTAAGCCCACATTTTGAATGTTGGATGCAAGGTTGGGTGGGAACAGCGAAAGGGCTCTGTATTTGGTTCGTGACGGCCCAATATCATCGAAGGAGCACTCACCGCCAGACTCACCCAAGTTGTTGAGAAGCACAGAGCACTGAGACCTTGCAGAATAGCTTCCTTTCAAGTATTTTGCGGTCCAACTTATTCAAGTACTGGACTTGAGTGCGCTGACCTCACCTCAGAAACTTGTGAAATGCCCGCGGCTTCTTCAATCGGTCCGAGTAGCAGGAAAGTCCCTGGCCACTCCTTCATCCGCTGCACCCTGTAAGCGTCGATGGCAGAGTCGCCGTCGGATGCAGGTGTCTGCCAGGAGAGGTCCACCACTCCTGTCACAACTCTGAGCTACTCTCACACCAACTGTAGAGGCAGGAGCTCTCAACGCATCTCATGGCCACAGCGCTTAGGGAATTATGGCTCACTCAGTCCTTTGTTCAATGCCTCGAGATCTACGGAGAAAGCTTGCGGCGCAGAGGGCCTCTGGTTTCATAACCAGAGCCAAATTAACTTGCTTGAAAGTTCCTGCCGCAGTCTTTGAAGCCGCTGGGACACATCCCATTCCTTTTTGCAAGGGGCTGAGGTGCCGACCTGTTCGCGGCTACAGCGGAGATCGTTTCGGACACAGAGGCTGGGCCGACGCCTCAAAAAAGCAAGCGGGTCGATTTTGCAATCTTCTTGTAGCTCACTTCCTTCTGATCCCGAGAACATGGTGGAAATGCGCTTTTACTTCCTGTCAGGCACCTGCTGCATTTTCGGCCTCGACAAAGACTTCATAGCGCTGTCCTCGCAAGGTCGATCAACAAAAGGCATCGGCTGCAGAATCACCACTTGAGCGCTTCTCCTGGAAAGACAGCAACGTTTCGCAGCCTGCCATCTGTTGCGACGTAGCTGTATCCGGTGAAGATAAAGCTGTTCTGACCTCCATACTCAGGTTGCAAAAGCATGTTCTGCAAAGCGGAGACAACCTGAAAGGCTGCATGGCCAAACAATATTGCGACTCCCAACCTGCCACAGTCTGCCCAACGAGGTATGGTGCAGGTATGGATGTGAGGGTGGAGACGTTGGCATAGATCGAGTAACCTTCAGAGATCTCACTTGGGAGCAGGGACTCTGCAACTTCATCAAGCCAGCCTCTCAAGCCACCGGCACCAACACGCAGCGGCTCGCCCCAAGCGAACTCAATCGAAGAGTTGGACTGCAAGGCCACACGGAGCTCGCCTTGAGTAAGCCACGCATCATTAGGCCTGCATGCTACTACGAAGCCTTCATGACCTGCTTCTGCGCAAATCAGCATCCCAGGCGGTTCCAAGAGAACTAGCTGTCGGCACACTGTTGTTTGCTGTCCGAGCCGTGCTGGCAACAAACACTCCATTGTTCCAAAACACGTGGAGCGGTGCTGTACCCGGAGGCTGGCATGACCTTGGCAGAGTGTTTACGCAAAGGTATATAGTATATACAGCATGTGGCCATGGAGCAGTGCAGAATGTTCAGCCCTGACAAAACTCGGGTCAGTGACTGACAGCTGCAGGCCATGGTCAAATGCAATATGCAGTCTCAAAGCACATCCAAGGACAAATGCGGCAGCTTCCTGGCTCTGATGCTGATGTTGACAGCTGCATCCAGGCTGCCACTTCCTCGCTCCAGGGCCCGTCTCCAGCACCAGAGACTGCAGCGACTCGTAGCCTGGAAGATAGCCCGGAGGAGCGCGAGTCTTCATGGAATTTTCCCGAATGCGTAGCAGAAGGGCTCCCGTTTTAAGGTTGGGGTCCAGGGGTCCAGTCGTCTCCGGTCACAGGGATCGGGGGGGTCGTGGTCGCGAAGCCCAGAACTTTCGTCACTTTTGGCCTTGCCTCTGGAGAGAGGAAAGGAGAGAGGAGAGAGGAGAAAAGAGAGATGAGAGGAGAGAAGAGAGGAGAGAGGAGAGGAGAGGAGAGGAAAGGAGAGAGAAGAGAGGAGAGAAGAGAGACGACAGAAGAGAGGAGAGAAGAGAGA